CCTTAAAGATTTTAATATAAGAAAATATTTATAATTGCTACACAGTCTTTTTGTTAATATAAAATAAACATGTTTTGTTTTAAAACAAAGAAGATATGTTTAAAATTCTATTAACCGAAAGTGATCACAATAATGAATTTGAATATATAGTGTCATTTAAAAAGTAAAAAAAAAACTGGCAGTTTTTTTAAAGAAAATACTAACTTTACTTGACCAGTTATTAGGAAAACACCTTCCCATACATAGTTTATTCATTCTTTTATTCAAATTAAACACATTCAGTAAGAATTTCAATAAATTGCTGTGATTAAAATACTTAACTTAAGGATTAGCATAGTTTATCTTTCAAGTAGGAAAAAGAAAAAGTCAAGCCTGTGCCCACCTGACAGTCACAATAGTTATAATTTCATGATTTTTTTAACTTAGTAAATATTAATATAGTACATGAAATGAAAAGCATCAAAATGACAGGATGGCTTATACTTTCTATTAATTAAACTACATATTATTTTATTTATATTCAGAATCTTGTGTTTTATATAACCTCTTTATTTACAGTTTTTGCTGACAGTCATAGAGTGTGCACAACTTTGAGAGATTGGGGAAGTGTTTCTGCTTTTTCATGTTTTGGTAGTTTTGTGGAAAATATCACATACTGGTGAGTTAGGTCATTATATATGTACAGTTTGTTCTATTTAAAAGATAATAACAATTATGAATATTGTCACATTCAAGCTTCTGTGTTAAGGCTAAGTTGATAAGATGGTTAGCCACTAGGATCCAATTATTTCGAAAGTAAAAGGCATTTTTTTTATGTATCACTATCTAAAAAGATTTTGAATTATCCATATCAGAGCTATTATAAAATTGTTTACTTTAATGGTTCATAATTTTTCTACAGGTCACGTTATAATCTACATAAAGAACACAAGAGACATAGACAGTTTCAGAGTTTTTACTTTGAAATCATAGAGCTGCATATCATGATAGAAGAGATATTGGCTACATGTATGTTTTAAAAAATTGGGAAAAAGAGAGATTCTAAAATTACATGAAAAATGCAGACTTTGCTTGAGTCTATCTAAGGAAAAGTGCAACATCCCCTACACCGCCTAACACGGGCTATAGTGGAACTCTGTTCAAATCAATGATCCTGAAGGTTCAGAAAAATATAACAATATTGAAGTGAAGTTTGCGGCAACATTTTACAGCTTGGAATGTGACACCTGCTATTTTGAAGTATAAAACTGGAAAAGGACACTATCTCTCCGGAGCACTGACAACAACTTTCAGCTTGACAAAGTTTAAGTTGATTTAATAACTTGTGAAAAATGTGACTGTCAGCCTTTAACTGACTGTATTAAATCTGAAGTATTAACTGCTACATGCCCAAGCCTATCTAGCAAAGAATACATGCACTTTTACCAGTTTGGATAAAGTCATTTTCATGTAAAACATTGTTGGATTTGTATTTAAGTTTATTCTACCATACTTTTAAAGTCATTCTTATTATTGCTGACCAGTTAAGTTGCCTACCAGGAAGGGCGTTCAATGTTACACACTATATTAGAACCAAAGTTCAGATAGTGGTAATTTAATATATTAATATATAACCAAATTGCAACAGACATATTGAATAAAGAAAAGTGACAACTGTTTCTTTAACCGCATCAAATCAAAGAAAAACATTTTAAAACTTGTCTTCAAAAATAGTAAGCATGTTTACATCAATGATTCTTGGGTGAAAATGGGGTATCTTTGGTAAAAGCTAGATAACCAGATTCAATCAAGGAAAAACCTTCTTTATATATTTATTTGATCTTCTTTAAACTTTGTTAGATTTTTGTATTTATGATATATTGGTTAGGTATAAATATTGCTCATAGCTAAATGTAAAGAAAGCTATACAGGGATTTTTTCCAGGAATTTGGGAACATGACCTATACCCATGGAATTAGGAATTTCAGCGGTGTTTTGTTAAAAATTGAGAAAAAATGCATGACTGAAATTTTACAGTGATTAAATGGATACAAACATTTACTGTCTAAGATGGCATCTTCAAATATTTAAGCATTATTACAGTGGAGAAGCCCTTATTTTTTTTTAAAAAGATTTTAGAATTTCTATTCAATTTTTTTATTTTGTAACTTTCAATTGGGAATTTTTTCCTGTGGATTGGGAAAATAATATACTATTTTCAATTGGGAATATGACCCAATAACGGCTATAAAATAAGCCAAAAAATCCCTGGTGACAGTTTTCTTTAAAATTTAAAACTGTTTTTGAATTTGTGTCTTATTTATATTTTGGCAAATTTAGATTGCGGTAACATGTGGGAAAAATTAGGTCACAATGTCAAATCTATGAAAACAATGCATTCTTTCTGGGATCACTGTTTTGTTTGGATTTTGTCAAATTTTTAAGAAGAAATACATTTTTAAATAAATAAACAATTAAACTTGAATTTTGGTTAAATTGTCATAATTATCTTTTTCTTGCGTGGATTTGATTAAACTTGGACTAAGCAAGCTTAGCTTTCAAAAAACATTGAGTAATTTAGAAGTGACCTTGACCTTTTAGTGACAATCAAGATCCAATTTATGAAGTTCTTTTTTTCCCTGTAACTGGCTATAATTCTGTGATTTATATTCATATTTAGACATAACATCTTTTAGGTCAGGACCTTCATCTATACCAAACCCATAATAAACTTTTAGTAGTGGCATGGCCGAGTGGTTAACGCATTGGACTAGTAATCTAATTATCGCTAGCTGAATGGGTTCAAACCCTGACGGGGCAAGTCTTTGTTTCCTTGAGCAAGAAACTTTACACTCACTGCTCAGTACTGGATAGTTCCAGGAATGGATTCGAAAGTGTATTTGTAAGCTAATAGCTTCCTACACAATCGAACTAAAATAAATTCTGTATAAACCAAAACTTGAAGGTCAAATTATTGAATTTCACTGTGTATTTCTATGATTTACTGTACATGGCAATCAATGCATTATCTTCATACTTTGACAAAACAACCTTTTGGACAAGACCTTCAAAAAGGTTGAACTGAACTTAACCTATAATTGACCTTCACCGTCAAGGTCAAATAATTGAATTTGTATAATATTTTCTTAACTTTGTCATTTATTTATGGAAAAGAATTTCGGGCATATTATGTTATATCCCCTGGCGTCCGTCCGTCTGTCCGTTAGCAATTTGGTTTCCGGAGCATAAACTTAAGTTCCATTTGGCCCACAATATTCAAACTTCATAGGATGATTGTCCATATTGGGTAGAAGACCCCTAGTAATTTTTAGGGTCACAAGGTCAAAGGTCATGGTCTTTATTACTTTAAAACTGAAAACAATTTCCGGGGCATAACTTAAGTTCCATTTGGACCACAATATTCAAACTTCATAGCAGGATTGTTATTTGATTATTTAATTCCAATGTCTTACAATGCTTCATCTTTACTAAAAAAAATTACTTTCGGGCATATAATGCTCCGCCTAGCGGTGCTCTTGTTTTTAATTTTCTAGTTAGAGATTTGTTTAAACAGTTTGTTTGCTTTTAGAAAAGTAAAGAAAAAAGTTTAGCATTGCAACCGCCTGGCAATGGCTCTTGTTAAAGTTTGATACACTGTTTATTTGCATTTTCTTTTTTACATTTTTTAACTGTTTGTTTAAAACTGTTTATTTGTTTGAATTTAGAAAAAGTTAGAGTGTTGCCTCCACATTGCACTGGCTTCTGTTTTGCATATTATTAAATTTTAATTGTTATTTGAAAATTAAAAATATTTTTGGCGATGCAACATAATATTTCTCTGTGATCAATAATTCTCTGTGATAAATACATATTTATGCAAGCTAAATGTGTTTTATTTTGCCAAAAACTATGACCTTATTACTTTGGTCTTGTTACTCTAAAATATTTGAACAGGAATTTTTCCGCCTTCAAGGACAAAATATGAATCATTCAACAGATTTGGCTAATTTCTTTCCAAAGAATATTAAGTCATCTTACAAAGAGTTATCTGATGAATATTTCTGGTTTTTAAAAAATGCAAATATTTACAATGATTTCCCTTTTAAAATCAGAATTTTACTTAAGATTTTTTAGCTTGTCTACCTCCAACAAAAAGTCGAGTAATTTTGATCACTTTGGCATAAATTTCATGCAAAAATTTTAATTATGCTCACAAAGAAGTGTATAAAATTTCAACTTGTTTCAAAGCAAGATGTCAAAGAAAATATCTGAGGTGGTATGCTAACTTTAATGTAAATTATAAGTAGAAAAAGGGGCATAATTTTGTCAAAAATGCTTGATAGTTACCTCCTGTCTACAGGTTGGGGTCATGATGGTGAACAAATGTGCAAGTTTCAAAGCCATATGTCAATGGACTTTTGAAATATTTGAAGTGTTACAAAAACTTTAATGTAAATTCCAAGTCAAAAAGGGGCATAATTGTGTCAAAATGTTTAATACAGTTACCATCTTTTGTCTACAGGTTGGGGTCATGATGGTGAACAAGTGTGCAAAGTTTCAAAGCTATATGTCAATGGACTTTGCAAATATTTGAGGTATTACAAAAACTTTAACATAGGTGGTTACGCCGGCGCTCAGGTAACTAGTATAGCTCTACTTTTTCTTATCGAATAGTCGAGCTAAAAATGAAAATAAAAGCATTTCAGAGGCATAAAGTGCCTTTAAAGGTCAACAAATTGTCTAACTTGAAGGTCTTGTTCTAAAGGTTGTTTTGCCAGAGCATAAAGAAAATACATTTTGAAATTTAACAAAAAAAATATGACCACTTTTAAAGTTATCAGACAACAATGACATAACTGTAGCAAAATATCAAATTTTCCATTTAAAAAAAAAAGAAAATTCAAAAAGGAAATGAAAGACAGAAAAGCTAACTCCAATAAACAATCTTCAAATATACCTTGTGTTGGGGAAGTGGTAATAAGAGAAGCAATATTTCAGATAACAAAAATGATGCCATGAAATACTAAAACAAATTTAATATGTAAAGAAAATTGCACTCTCCATATGTGTTTACAAAATATAATAAGTAATTGGTACAACAAGAACAAATATATATAAAGTTTCATTCAAACACAAAAAATATCTGTACATTATTATACATGTTTATCAAATAACATGACAAGAAAATAAATGTTAGGAAAAAGTCCATTTAAATAAAAATATTTTAAGTTATGAAAGTAAAATGTACATTTCTTGATTGATGATTACACTACTATGTTCTTACAAAGCAAGAATGCAAATACATGATTTTTATGTTATTTCTAGTCCTTTTATTGTAATTGTATGCTGGTGGGGGGGATTTACATTGTAATTGTTTATTTATATTCTGAGACGTCTTTGAAATTATTATTATACTAGTCACTGAAATACACTTAAATTTCCTATATGTAGGAATTCTAATAAATATGTTTATTACTCCTTGCCCTCTTCATTTGTTACTTTATAAAAAGACATAACAGAACTTTTTGCAAGAGGATTATCGGTATACTGTTATTGGCAAGGTGTTCTGAATGTGTCCCCTCATTCAAACTGAATAATCAACATAATCTCTAACAAGGAGATTCTGAATCCATTTGTTATGATTCATAAAAAATACCATAAACTTAAAAAATGTCAAAATCACTATAAGCCTTTGGTGTATGGTACAATTGATTCCTTGCAGAAATGTCTGACAGGAGGTTGTAAGTTAAAGTATGTGTTAATTAAGCAATTTTTGTTTTGTAAAGTCTTCATCAAGTTGCACATGTCTCGAAATTCTTGGATGATATTAACATCCATCCTGGCCCCTGAATCAGGTCCCTGAAAAATACAGAAGAATTGGTATAAATGTTAAAATTCTAAACAAAATTGCAATAAACTTTTTAAGACACAATATATTTCAGACATTCCAACATATTGTAAAAAATGCACTCTTTTATCCACTTTTGATATATATCCAATACCTTGGTACAGATGATGACCATAATAAGTCATATTAGTCATAGCTACATTGTGATCCAAAAGGTTTAAATCATAATTTAAAGTGACTGCCCATCCAAGAAGCTCACATGAAAATTACTACATTTTGTCACTTTTGTTTTCAATTTTATAATTGATCTCACATAAATAATCAACAATGGCTATGTCCCATGAACTTCTTTAAATATCCTTCTCAGTTGTTACAGGTTATGTTCAATTTATAAAAAGAGTGGGGCATTTTTCATATTTTAGGTAGTTTTGATATTTTTTCATCAACATTTGTCATTATCATTTATAATTCAATCACCACAACCATAGTAAGTCTTTTAAAATATGGAAAGATACTCAGAATTGAAATGACAATTGATTTCCAGTGGAATTAATATTAGCTTGATTTAAGTTTAAAACTTTAAAATGCTTTTCAAATTTACATGTAGGTCATAATATACAATCAAACATTCTGGAAAAAAGCAACAAATTATTGTCACAAGCTATTGCTATAAACCTACATCAAACAATAACAAAAATTCCAGTCCCATCACCTAAAAAACAAACCTAAGTGGAGTCCCTTTAATTTTCTTGAATACTCTACATTATTTCGAATAAAAGGTTTTTTTCTCAGGAAGGGGAAGGAAACTTCCCTTTAATTTGTGGAAAAATAATATGGTGAGAGCTTCACCCTTTAACAGACCCTGCTACAGATGGGAAAAATCCCAGTATCAACCTGTTAATCTTACCCAATAACTCTGGACAAGTAAATTGTAGATCTGATTTTCAAGAGACAGTGTCCCCTTTCCTTAGTCACCTGATCAAATGTGTACAATTGCAATCCTCTTGAATTTCATTCAGTGTCACTTGGGAAAAGGTTGATATTCATAATGAGGGCAAAGTCTGAAAGTCAAAAAATATGTAATGAGAAAGCCGAGTAAATGTAAATTAATTTATCTTTAGTTATAAAGTACAAATAGCAGATGTTGTAAATATTAATGTTAACACCAAATACATATGTTCATATTAACACTAAAACAAACATTGTTCAAAACAGAAAGAAATAAACACAAGTATTTCCTTAAATATATGATCATTCAACATGTTAAGCATTTTCGCATTTACTTTTGAACCACCACATTCTCTTTTTATTTGTTTTTATTTGGTTTTACATCACACCGACACAGTATAGGTCATATGGTGATGTTACAGCTTTACTGGTGGGTTACTACTCTTCCGTGCATTATTTCAGGAACAAACCCATACCCGAGTAGAACCAATAACATTCCATAAGCTAGCTTGATAGCTTCCTTACATGAGAGAATTCAAAGTCCCTGTCGGGACTCGAACCCACAGCGGTAAGGGGCAAGTGGTTTGAAGACAACAACATTAACCACTCGGCCACGGACACTCATACCACATTCTCTTGTTACAGAGGAAATTATCTGAGAGGACATCTTACTTCAAAGAAAAATTACGACATACCTGCTTCACTTTTACCTCCACAGTTCCCACAGTACAAATGACCTGCTGGTAAACCTCCTTTAAATTTGCTGTATATCATTTCCCCCACCATTCTTGAAAGAAGTTGCCGTCACATATGTAGGACCTTGCATTGTACACAACACATTCTTTTACCTGTGTTTAAAATTCAAAAGTTAAATATCATTAGCATTATGCAAAGAATTTTTAATTTGTAAGAGAATTGCTCACCTTGAACCTATTTTGATTCTTCAATGCAGATGTATATGTAGGTCATTAGGTCTAATAACATAGGGATATGGGCTTTGAAGACTTTTTATCTTTTTATGGTCTCTGTAAGTAATAGTGCAATGCCATCATGCATCATTTAATTTGGACCAAATATGAATGCCATGAGTATTGAATATAATACTTATATTGAGTGTTTGAGTAATGAGCAACAGTATTTGCACAACAATGCCAGTAAATTGTTCATACAAGTTAACTTATTTTTCCAAAAATGACAAGCTATAGATATGCAGAACATACCATATAAGTGTATATATAATTAGTTATAAAGATCGTTGACAGGTTATATGGCCCTATATAAACGGCTATTTGTAAATATAACCCAAGCCGTTAGGCGAGGGTTATATAGCAAACAGCCGTTTATAAACGGCCATATAACCTGTCAACAATCTTTATAACAAATTTATATTACAGCAAGCATCATGTTTATAGAGAAAAAGTAAGATTTCTGCATGAATCAACAGCAGCCGTGTATATAAAACTATATAAACGTCACGATTATCCAAAGAAAAATGACGTTATAAACGTGCAGTATTGTAAGTATACATATAAGATGCATATATGGCATGAAGGACCAGAACCAGGGTTTCAGGTTCGATTTCATGTGTACCGAAATTCATTATCAAATCTTTTACAACCAAGGCAGCATTTATTATAGTCATTCAATAGATTTACAGACAGTTCACCCCTCAGACACTTCATCCTAAGCCATTTTTTACAGACACCCCAACCTTTTTTGTTGGAATTTGATTGAAAAACTTCAGTCACCCCTCATTTTTTTAGTGTTTAACATACATGTTAATTATAAAGTGAAATATGGAGATATAATCAATGGTGATTAAAAAAGGTAATTAAATATAATTTGAAAGACCCTGTGTGCAGCAACAAGAGCAGCACTACCAAATCACAAATGAACTACTAGTTATTTAGTTTGCTCATTGCTAGGCCTAATATAATATGACCTACATGTAATATTCTCACAGATAACGCAATTGTATTTTGTCTGGGACTAAAAATACAGTATTTTAAGTTCCAGATTTTTTATAAAACTTCAAAATAATCGTCATACCCCACCCACTACTTTGGTTCATTTTTAATTAAATTAAGCAAATTACAAATAAAGAAATTATGGATACTCACTTCCTCATGTGTGATAGTTTTAGAATAAAAAAAACTTCTCACTTCCTCATGTGTAATAATTAAGAAACTTCTGACTAGATGTTTGACAATTCCCTAACAATTCAGATGCTGGCTTGTTGTTGTTGTTGTTATTTATAAATGTGACATTTGCATTGACCAATGAAAACATTTTACAAATCCCGCTCTTTGGATATGAATATTAATGAAGCTAACGACGGAAAATTGTTCAATTCAGTTCAATTCTGTCACTTCACCGGTATTGTTACTATTTTTAGTAACTTTCCGGCCGAATGAAAGTTTTCATTCGGCCGGAAAGTTACTAAAAATAGTAACAATACCGGCGTAAAAAAATCCGATCAAGTGCATATTAGAACAGAACAGAACAGTTTTCCGTCAGAAGCAAAGAGCGATTCGGCGTAGTGGTTTAATCGATTTTCCGGTAGTTTATCTTATGGCGGGTTTTCTAAGGGCGGTATAGCGGAGTAGTGTTTACTTTACATTGTAACGGCGGGATCAATTCGGCGTTAATTAATTGAAAATTAACAGCGGGTTATGGATATATCTAACGGCGGGGCGGGTATTTGTAACGCCGGGGCGGGTATTTAAACGACAGATTTCCGTCAGTTTCATTTTAACAGCGGAATCTTTCGGCCGGACAAGTATACCGGCGAAATAGATAGCTTATGGCGGAGCGGGTATTTCTAACGGCGGATTTCCGTCATTAGAAATTTACATTGAATTATATAGTAACGGCGGAAGGGTCCCATACCGCTTTCCATAATTAGCAGTCACATTAAACGTCAATACGGTGACTGTTATGTTCCTAGGCACTTCTTCGGTTATGCTCCAATTTTGGGTATATCCTAAACTAGGTAATAATGTAATATTTTCCATATCTATGATAACTTCTTCTATCACAAGAGCTTGTTTTATGCCCGTCTAATACCTTCCATCATTTCAGATCTCTTCGTGTTATGTAGCCACAGTTGTAAAGTTCTTTTTTTCCTTCTGAAAATAGTAACAAATAACTATTAAGAAGAATACATTAAGAAATAACAATCAAAATTTCTAATGTTCTTCTGTCTAAAATGTTTCCAATTTTGTTAATTTACGAGAAAAATATTGGAAAAATAATCAAAATGACCAAAAAATGTTGCTTGAAGAGCATTAATCTGAAGAAGACAACTTGATCAAGAAAAAATGAATATTTGTACTCTGTTCTTCTTTTATCTGAAAATGAGGAAAATTATATTTCTTTTATCAAAAGATAATCCATTTATTTCTGTATAAAAACATCGACATGATACATTGAAAATGTAAAATAAAACACTTTTAAATAATTTGAATTTCAAAAATGTTCAAACAGTATGAATGTTTATTCAAAAAATGTTTCTAAATGACGAACTCTTATAATTTTGTGTTATTGAAATAAATTTTTAATGAAAGTCCCATTTGGTTACACCTTTATTCAAACTGATGACAAACCGTTTAACGGCTCTTAAATATTTAAAACAGAAAAAAATCTAAATAAGCTTTGATGTTAGAATTTTTCGCACTGTAAAACAAATTTTAAACGATATTCCAAACATAATAACCGGTTGGGGTACATTTTCTGATCTCTTAAATGCACTACAGAAGTTACATTGCAAGTATGAACTATTTAAGGGATGACGATGATAAAACATTTAACACATTGTTTACCAGCTTCTGTTATGTTTGTTTTACCATAACTAAGTTAACACGACAATATTAAGATATTCATTCATTTTATGGTTAATATGATCAACACGACAATATTAAGCTATTATAGATAGTTTATAGATAGATAGATAGTTTTATTCTGGTTATAAAAAATACATGTCATAAAACAACTACAAATTCAATGTCAACATCAAAGAATACAATGTAACATGAAAGTGCATGTTTGATGCCATATATTCAATACCAAGGGATGACACAAAAAGAGGCATAAAGCCGACTTATTTCCATTGTGGTCCTTAGAATTGATCATATGACAACCAGAAAGCAAGAATATTTACTAATTTTTAAGTATTGCACATAATTATTCAATCACAATTTCTTATATCAATTATTGCACATAAGTATTTCCATCACAAAACTTTATCACACATGTATTATAATCAATAATTATTATGACAGATATGTTTGACAATGAATACGGTACTACTAAAATATGCACTAAACATAAAAAATATATAAATAAAAACTAGGTAGGATGACTAGATTAAAATGACTAAACAGATATTGATTGCATTAAAATGTTCCTTAATGAGATTTTTTAAAATTATTACGACTTGCTATAACCTAAGATGTGTTCGGTAACCTGTTCGCATTCCTGACAACCATTTAAATACAAATGTTTTCTTACGAATGAAGACCCTTAACTCTTGGGAAATAGAAATAACTGTTACTATCTCTAAATCGAGTGGGAGAAGAATGTATCCGTCATTTTTGCAATTTGAAAATGCTCATTTAAATAAACTAGTGGCACTATTGTTATGTATCTTATGTACATGACAAGAATAAGGAAACTTTACCCTCAGGATGTACTGGTAACCAACCAACTTCCTCAAAATGAGGCCCTCCCTATATGAGTACGGGGACTGAGATTAAGTATAAATCTCACCCAACTTATTCTGTGTGGCCTGAAGTCTATTTTTTAGATTTGACTCAACCCTAAATACCAGGAGGCACACGCCATAATCAAAATGACATTGTACTAATGAGAAACTAAAAGTTGTTTAGTATACCTATTTCTAAAAATGAACTTTTTCTATATAAAAAAAACTTAAGTTTTGCACTTTGGCCTTCTTAATTACCTGTTGGCTATAGACTCACCAGATAGACATTGATCTAGGTCAGCGCCCTAAGTATTTAACAGATTTGGTGGATGTTATTGTAGTACCATTACATACAATATTTAGTGATCACATGACCTAAGATCTTGTTTAGACGCATAAAAAAAGAGACTCTGTCTTCAAGATGTAAGGCAAAGTTATTATCAGTGAGCCACTTACTCACACTGCTGAGATCATCATTAAGCTGAGAGGTAATATACTGATATCTTTACCTGATACTAAAAATACCTGAGTTCATCAGCATAATAGAAGCAATTATTACGAACCACAGCCTCCATATCATTTACATAATCAAGAACTAGGAGAGGCACAGGATCGAACCCTTGGGGTACCCACAAGTACATTAGGCGCGTAGATGAAAGTAGACGGAAACATTACCAATTTCTGTGTACGCTAATAAGTAAGACCTAAACAGTGAATACATCACTAAGGAAAAACCCCATAGCATCAACGTTCATGAGTAAAAAATCAATGCATGCGACAGTGTCGAACGCTGTTTATGTAAATCTAAAAGAACCATGAACCAACCTAATTACCTTTATCCATTTTCAAATTTAATGAATCTGTAAGTGTAAAATGCAAGTTCAGATTTAGAATATCTATTGTCTAAAACCAGACTGATGGGTTATAAGAGTTAGTTTTTCTCTGATAAAGTAACTCTCTTACTTGGTCAAAATAATTCTCTCAAGACCTTGGACACTATCACTTAAATAGACACTGGTCGATTAATTACCCACGTCAATTCTTATTAATAATTTTTTTTTATTACAATGGAAACAACACGGGCAGACTTGAGATTATCTGGAACAATACCAGTAATCAATGGACAAATTAAGTATATGAGTAAGGGGTTCAGCAATGTTCGTGACACTATCCTTTATAAATCGCGCCAGGTATATTCATCCCAAGCCTGTAGCTTTATTGGCCCCTAGTTATTTAAGTACTTAATTTACAGTTCTCTTAGTACAACAGATAAAAGAAAAACTGTTACGTACAACACCCTTTTTACTATAAAAATATAATATAAAGTTTCTTCCAAAATTATTCAAACTAGTAGGAAGTTTTTCAACTAACTTTTGAGCAACAGTCGTAAAAAATTCATTAAATTAAGCTATTCATTCATTTTCTGGTTAATATGATCAAGACGACACTATTAAGCTTTTCATTCATTTTGAGACATATTCCTAAACGATTTTGAAGTACGTTTGTTCTTATGGTTAAAACGCCGCTAAATACGCCCTTTTTATACTCTTTAATATTTAAAAATTGCTCTTTGGAGTTACCACGCGGAATTTGCTACCTGTCTATGGGGAAACAATGTTTCCAACATCAAAACATATAGAACTTTAAAACATTACATCCACAACTTTTAATAGAATCGTTAACTGATAGTTATGTTTGCGATTGACTTCTCATTACAGCAAATGTTTATGTGTACAATGCGTTATTGACAAAATAAATGATGTTTTGAAACCAGTTACAAATGCATGAAATGTAAATGTTTACGTTTATTTCACAAGCTTAAATTCATGTTATTTCACAAGTTTTTTTCACTTCTATATTATTATGAAAATGGAACATCAAGACAACACACACGGTACTGTATGTGCAAAATGATTTTGAAAAGACAGGTTACAATAATAAAACCTTGAAGAAATCGACGTTAAAAAAACAACACAAATTCCTGTAAAATATCAAAGTGTTTATTATTGTCACTGCATGACAATTCAGATAAAAACGTTTTATGTTATTTTTAAATCAATATGTTACCGTCAATAAAACAAGTATAAGTGAATTAAGTTTATTTTGACCCCACAGCAAAACCTTTTGTCTGTAGGATATATTAATACTTTGTAGCCCTTGTTTAAGTTTTGTTCTTTGGAAACTATTATTACTGTCGGGAGTGGTCTTCCTCGTCGTTTTCCCCTCCTTTGACGTGACTTTCAGTTTTAATACAAATTACTTCAATCATCCTGTGTTTCGTCATTGCTTTGTTTATCTAATTTGACAAAGAATTTTACTGTTTTGTTTTACTGCAAAATGGTTCATTATGTTCAAACCAGTATTTAAAATTGTTCAGGTACTAGTATTCTGAGTAAACATTTATTTTAGATTAAACAATTACTTATCAGTACGTTTAACAAATATTTATAAAAGAAGAATTTGTAAAACACCAAAACAGCAAGTCATAAAAACACAGCTACAAGAACTTCTGTAAAACCCTAATCTGAATCAGTGCCATGGCATGATATTCCAGCCATAATTTGCCTTAACTGTTAGATTAGTCTACGTTTCATTGCATTGACATTATTGAAAGGGATTTAGTATCGTTATCCTGGAATACACATCTGTCTGTAGAAATCCAATCGTGCTCTTTGA